AGGGTAGAGGAAATTGGCTTTGAGTAGGAGAGGATTCGGATATCTTCAAGGTAATCACATTGGGTGTAAAGACTGGTGGATTGTCGTTCTCATCAGTGATACCGAGGGATACTGTCTCAAGATAACTCTCAGCACCGGCTCCTGTCTCGTCTGCTTCAACTGAGACGTGCACGATGAAACCAACCTCACAGAAGGGAGCATTCTCCTGGTAGGGGCTATAGAATATGCCGGATTCATCTACTGTTGGCGGCTGCTGTGTCTTAGACTGTTGTGAACAGATCTCTTCCCGGTCGATCTGCCGTAGAGTGATAAGGGAACCGTTGCTGGGAAGCACGGAGAAAAACGCGGCGATTCGTTTGTCAGCGAGATTTGTAAAGGAGAGGGACCCGAAGCCGGAACCCGGACGTCGAGCAATTTGCCCAATGACGGTTTCTGCTGCAGTGTTCTCCTTTACCCAGAAGCGCTGCGGCGGACTTTCTCCCTCAGAACTGACCACGACAGTCCCGCCGACTAGTAGGATTATAAGTCCAGGGGGCCAAATGTGGATGTACATTACAGGGTTTTAAAAAGCCCTGTTATCAGTTTGGAGGTAGACTTTCACAAGGGATTTTTCCGGGAGTAAAGCTGGGGGTGTTTCTGTGCCTTGCCAGGCAATGCAGCCTCTTCTCCTCTCACTCGTTGAAAAAAGGTGTGGAAATGAACGTGTAGTACGAACTACTCAGGTGCCGGAAGCGAATGTCCTGGACATGGGTTGGCCCTGAGCCAATCAAAAGCTGAATGTATTTGATTGGTTGGGCAGTTCTATGAGTCGCTCTCATGGGCATAAACCACTTTCAGAAGACATATATGGCAAGCCTCCATGCTGAACACAATACCGTGGTTATTTTTGACCGTTAACTTAATCTTTGAAATCAGCAATTTGACCAGTTGATGAAAAGATTTGAAAATGACTATCCTCCGGCGGGAAGGGTCTAGTTTTTACAAATAAACAGTGCGTCATTGAGAAAAGGGGAGATTTCAGGCCTATGTATTCTGCTAAAAGTAGCATTTTGCCACTTTCGTTTACGGCGAATCACTGAATTATTAAGTTGGTTTGGCAGATTTGGTTAATTTAGTTGACCCAATTGTG